GTGTAGTGCATCCAGCCAGAAATCCCATCCGAGCAGCCAGTGGCATCCGGGCTCAGCCTGCCCCTGCTCCGAGAGCTTGGCCGGCAACTGCAACAAGCAGGAATCACACACAATGCCCAACGCAAAGGGTGCTGGGCTGCACGCACAGCCCCCAGGGCCCTCGGGGTACGACCTGTGTGACTCAAGAAACGGTGTCCCGCACGCACAGAGCGCAAGGTGCCCTCTTGAAAACTCCGATTCTGTTCTCTACATGTCCAAGACAGAAAAATCCATCCATCAAGCGCGGGATTACTCCGGTAGGCACCCAATAGGGTAAGATAGACAAAGGAGAGAAGCACCAGCTCGGCACCGTTCTCACACACACAGGACGTGCCTCACCCCGAGAGCACGCGCAGCGAGTACCCAGACAGGGCTGCTCAGGACAGGCAGCACGAGCGGGTGGTGTGAGGAATGAAGAGCCCTCGGCGGGAGGAGAGGGGTGCAGCGTGCCAGCCGAATCACAAAGGGGAGTCGGCCGCTGCGGCAGGAGACGGCAGCACTCTGGCGGGACGCTGTGCCTGGGCCTAGGGAGAGCGAGTGGGGCTGCGGGCAGCAACACGACAGACACGCTGCAGGAGGATCAGAAGGCACAACGCTGTTTACCCTTCGATGCAGATCTGTTCCGCTTTTCCCTGTGACTGATGGGGTTGGGGTTTCTAAGGCAGGCTGCACTTAACATTTGCACTTACCAAACCAGCAAGAGACTAGGAAGGGTAAGTTTCCACTGAAGGCAGGAGACCCCTGTTTAACCATGGTCTTGCAGTAATTGCCTCGAGCAATTTAACAGCTGTCAGGGAAGACAATACTCTTTGCCTTGAAAGGAAAAAGTAAACTTCGATGGAATTAGGCTAAAACTCCAAATAAGGGCAGATTTACAAGAGCCCTAGCTATGCCCTTGCAAGATTTTCTTCAAGGCAGCTGTGTATCCCCAAATCGGGCATCTGTTACCTGATATTCCGCGTCATTAATGTGCATTTGCTTTTCGCTGTAACCCGGTATCGGTACTGGCACACGATGCAAGTCTGGCGACGGCAGTTATCTATCAGTCGTATAAATACTCTGAAAGAAAGTAATGAGAGCGTGAGAGAAGGCAAATACATCTCAGTCCTCAGGAGAGCAACTCAAATTTCATGGCAAATCCGAACACAACTTAAATAAACCCGCCTTCACTAAATTAGCAATACGAGGACGGAATTCCCAAGGAGAAAGCGAAGAAAAATTGTAGTTTAAGTTTGTTTATTGTGATAACATTGTTCCAAACATCAATAAACATTGCACTGAATGTGGGTTACTGTACCCGAGATCGTCCAGTCTTAACGAAAACCACAGGCGGTATGGTCACAGACTGGACAATTTTAAACACGCCACCTTATTAGTGATTGAATTGCTTAACAATCAAGTATTCCACATCTTCAACGCAAAACTGAAATGATTGAAGAGAGCTTTCCCACCCTCAAAATAAACCAATGTTTTAACTTTCATCTGGGAGTAATTAACACTGTCCAAAAATCCAAAAATAATTCCATTCTATTCAGCAGAATTTAAGCTTTGGAAACTCAAACTTCTTCAGGCAACAGTGACACTTTAAAGGCATCTCAAACCCACTACGTATTTCTGATGTTTCATTACAAATTTGTTATTACAGTCGTTTAAACAACTCCCACCCATACGACAGCATTTTCTAGAAGGAAATATTCACATGAAAACTCATCCCTCGCCTTTACCCTAAGCGGATTCAGAGTTGGCTTCAGAAGTTCATAGCAGAGTTGACACAAGTGTTAAAACTTTTCCAGTTGGAAAAAAAAAAAAAAAAAAGGCTTTAAAAGGGGTATGTTGATAACAGGAAGCTAAGGATGCGTGAGCCGAGACTGCACATGCAACTGCATACTGTTAGGGATGAGAGCCCAAACTTTTGAAGTACAAACATGCTTGGTACAGTAAAAAAAAAAAAAAAAAAAAAAAAAAGACTATCCAGAAATGTGCACCACTGAAGTGACTGATCTTTAAATCGCTGTAGAAACAGGTACTGTCCAAGTCACCAACAAGTTTGGAATTGCAACGTTCCTTCTTTATTCCCAGACCGGTATGGTTGGCTCAGCCTCTGACACAGTCCCAGTGCTACGAGAACCCGCGCCTTCGACGACACAGCCTTAACAGGGTGTGCACGCGCCTACGGACACACGCGCCTCCGAGTTCCTCTTTCACAGAAAGAATGAGTTCGCTTGCGCTCGTGCTGAGCCAGTACAGCGCCAACTTCTCGCACGCCAGTTTCAGGCCGCTTCTCTCGACTAAGGTAACCAAGGCCAGGCCGAGGCGGAATTCTTATCTGCCCCACGTCACGCTGACGGTGGAGCGCAAGCCCGCAGCTTGATAGCGATGAGATGTCTTTTCCAGAGTCAGTAAAGTGCCCAGCGGTCCGAATTACATAGGTAGGCGATGACAGGTACGGTGCCCCTGTACTCTGTCCCTAAACAGGGGTAACAAGCGACCGGAAAAGCTTCAAATACAAGCCAGATTTAGAAAACCAAACCCAAACCACCCCCCCGCCCTACTCGTATCAGAAATACTCAAGAACACTTTTACATTTTACCAAAACTGCAGCTGTTACAGAGCAAAAAAGCAAAAAACTTTTAACAAAGCAACTTTGTGGCCGTGGCTGTAACACACAACAACAGGTACTGGGAGCGGGGAGCTCCCATGGCAACAGCAGCTTTGACTGTGCATCTGGAGATACGCCGCCATCCACCCAAGACCCCACCTTAACATCCACAGCTTACGACAATCCGAAAAGATGAATGGAAGGGAAAAAACAATCAACCAAGTCAAAAAGTCAGCCAAGAAAGACCCAGCCAAGAAAGACCCAGCCAAAGCTTGGCAACGGCCTGTCCCGTTTGGAAACCCATCCCAGTTTCATGACGGGCTTTTATTTTTAGAAAACCCGTGTAATAAATACCAGGCCTGCGAAGTTAAGTGTGGTAAAGAAAGTTTTGACATCCACAAAGGGCAAGTTTAGGAGAGGCAGCTTCACTCCCTTCATGTAAAATAGAATCTTTAGCTAGATTATTTCATCTTGTAATTAAAATAACTTTACTATGTTGGACTTTTACTTATTTATTTTAAAGTATTTAAGTGACTCAAAAGCTCAAATCCCACTGATATTCAAAGCACTTGGTGATCATGAAAAGTTCAGTTTCTAATGAAATCTATAGATTAAAAGGTAAGGGAAAAAATTGTGGAATTATGTTTGCCAGCTTCTGACAGTAAAAAGAAAGACAAAAAAGCAGCAAGAGCAAATGAATGCTGTGAAATCCACGTAAACATGGAGTAGATTGGCGCCAGGACTGAGAATGTGCTGAAGCAGTCACAGCAGGCCTTGTTCTCGCTGCACAAGAACAGGGATGCCTTTCGTTCACGTACATGCACTGCACACCGTGACAGGATTCCTTTCCCACTCTCATACTGCTGCTTGGAAAGAGAGGTTCCCTGTTGACTTTGCTTGCCCCCACTCTTTATAAACATTACTACACTAGTTTTGTAAGGGAGGGAAAAAAAAAAAAAAATAGGAGTTTCATATATATAGTGATCTAAAACTTATCTCCCCAAGCAGTTCACCAATTGCCTAGTGTTAGCTGGTGTTACATCAGACTGGGGGTTAAGACTTCTCAGCCTGATAAAAGAAATATTCCCAAGAATCCTCTGGATGCAAGCAGCGAAAGAGAGCACTCCCTTCCTACGTTCAGCCCAAGTAAGCTGGCGCAGACAGGCCCGCTCACGCTGTTCCTGAAAAGAGCAGCCCTGGGGCAGGCATCGAGGCAGGCAGCCGTGCAACCGCCTTCTAAGGATCGCTCACGCTTCCCTGCTCCCACTGGGAGCTGTGTACGGGCCAGTGCTCACCCTGGAGCCTGGTGGAAATTCCAGGCCCTGCCCCTGGACGGATCTTTAAGCACAGCCCCAGGAACTTGCTTAAGGAGTAACAGAAAAGCCGGTGCGCCCAGAAAGCCCAGGAAGGATGTTTAAGTGCCTGATGTTTGAATGACTGCAGTCCTTAAGCCCTCTGGCCTGGTGGAACGATGCATTCCCACCACAGACCTGCCTGAAGGAGGTCAAATGCACTAAGTCAAAGATCAGAACTACCTTTGCCTTCAAGTGTTTTTGGAGAGAAATACGAGCTGCTTTTACGGCCGACAAACACTAGGCTTGGAATGCGTTTGTTCGCAGGCTCTGATCTGAACCTGAGAAATGACCAGCATGTTTATGAATAACCCCAAACCCCTAAAAAAAAAAAAAAAAAAGGTTGTATTCTGCTCTGCAGCATTTTAACCATTCTCATACCTGGAATCTCACTATTGAGCTGCATTTCCTTCCAGCTATTGAAAACCTGCAATACAGAATTCTGGAAAGACTTGCAGTAGACAATTAAAAAATTAAATATGTATTTTTTTTCATTACTACAATTCCCTGAATATAATCTGTACACACGTTTTACTGGCCTGCACAGCGTGCACACACATATGCATCATCTCTGTGCTGAAAAAGGAAATAAAAATGCCAGCTCCCAACTCTTACAGAAATGTTCCAAGATTTTTCCTGATGGAAATTTAACATGACATAGTGCAGCCTGAAAACAACAAAAACCATACAGGTGCCTGAAGACAACTTTCCTTTTAAGAAGCCCGTGAAATCGTTTAAGCATTGCACGTAAAAAGAAGTACTAAGCGGCGTTAGTTTGAGCGTGGATTGTACAAGCAGAGCCTTGTACCTGTGACACAAGGCATATTTACATTTAAAGCGGAATTTTGTGTCTTCAGAGTCTGTCAGGCTAGGAATGTCTGCACGCTTCCTGTATTTTAGCTGAGAAAGAGCACACTGGTCTTAGGTTCTGGCTCCTTTCAAAAACGGCCTCATTGCCCATCTGAACATCAGACCATGTTTCATACTGATAGGTCTGACATTCTATTTGGCAGTTTCCATACACTTTTTGGCTTCATTTTAGAAAATATACTATTAAGACTAATATGAAAAAAAATAATAATCTATGTTTACAATAAGGTCTGAATTGACGAAAATGCAAAGTCATAGTTTACCTCAGCATTCAGCACTGAAGCACTTGGGTACCATGACCCTCAATGACAGGCCCATCTCAAGTGCCTCAGAACAGGAATATAAAGACAAGCAAGAAAGAAACAAACAACAAAAACTCCACACAAAAAAAAACCATACAGACAGTAGCTTTGCATTTTTGTTGTTTTAAACCAACAGAGTTAAAGTGATTTCTGTAGTAAGACTTATGGTACCAGTATATAAATTAGCATCTTCGTTAAGAAAGTTCTTCACATTTAAACTGAAGTTGAGGAGCTGAATATGAAATTCCATCTCTAGGTGAGAAGTATTCTTCAGGCCAGGTCATCCATGTTAAGGTTGGGAAGAGGCTCTCTCCAATAGCAAAAGGAGCTGAATTCTGGGCATGGAAACGCAGAATTCTGTTCTTTGTTAAGCAATGGGAACACATGTTCCACAAGCTCGCTTAGTCTGTAATACCTGTATTAAAAAAGAAGAAAGACCGTTACTTACAATCTGGTCACTGTTCAGCTGTAGCCAAAAAGGAGCTTTAGAAGTCTAGACCAGAAAGCTATAGTCAAGTACGGCATCGCTGCTGCAGAAGCAATCTTCTATTTTATTTCAAGGGTTTACTCTGCTTTTTGAAAAGTTTCAGTTCAGTATCCAAAGCTGTAAGTCTCTGGCACAGATTTTCACGTGTTGTATGTAATAGGAGATCAAATAATGGTCACAGCTTCAATTATTTTGTAACCTCATTCCCCAACACTTTCTTTAGCTGAAATAACAAAAATGATCTTACGAAGATTTGTTTCCCTTAGTCCGTTCCTGGATCAGTTCACCCTTTGGATTCACAGTAAATATTCTGCAGTCTGGAACTCCCACTTGCATGTAGGCATACACATCCTGCAAAAAGCGGGAGCAAAAGCACATGCTTCAACATTGCCTCATTGAATGTGATATTGCAAACAGTTTCTGGAAGGAATGAGAAAAGCGGATCCACAAAGGGTACAGCAAAACTGCCCCTTAAGAAAAACCTTCCTAAACAACAGCCAAAAACCCAATCCCATAAAACTCACCATAACAAAACATTCCCCCCAACCCTTTAATTCCTGTTCCCAAGCCTGGGACCACCAACATGCAAAAAATCTGTACCACACAGTACTATTGCTTGTGACAATATTCCTCTTAGAATGCCCCCTCCCTCCCTCTAGCTTTGACCTGCAGAGGAAATACAGGAACCGTGTGACAGGAAGAAGGATCAGGGCTGAGGAGCACTGAATTAGTACCCTTAAGTTATAAAGCAGTGAAAAAAGCTGAAAAAGAATATGCAAAGGTGGAATAAAATTTAATAAAGTCCTGAAGATACTAACTCATCTTTGTAACCTGATACAAGCAGTTCTAGTAGCTTTGCTTTAAGGTATCTGTATGGGGGTTTTCTTGACCCAACCCATAAAAGCATCAGTGTCCCATTTCCTTACTCAAAATCAGACAGACACAGAAAGAACAGCCTATGTCCTGTGCTTCCCAAGTGTTGCATGCATTTTAACCCTGCAATTAGAAAGAGGCAGACTTACATTGGGCCTGTTTCCAAAAGCAGCATAGAAAGGCTGTTTACTGGGAGCAAACAAATTCTTGATATCATTCAAACATTCGATTTTGAACTTTTCAGGCTTCTTTTCTATTACTTCCCTAAAATAAAAATTTCAACAGTCAAATTCTAAACCATGATTTGATAGAGGGCATCCTCCTTCCCCCATTTAGCTGATACTTATATTCTCATTGATTCCTGTTGCTAGCATTGGCAGATACAGACATTGGCCAGTACTTCTCCAGAATGATACAAGAGACAATAAAACAATAAAGCATTCTGTTTTCCAACATCCACAGTAAAAAACAGGTGAATAACCTGTGCCTAGGCTACGTAGATGGGGTGACGTTCCCAGTTATGAGTGCAGTTTGTGAAATGCTTTTACTGTAGATGACCAGCTTGATTCAGCAGACCAAATCAAGTACACACACACTCATTACAACTCCTGCCTCTGACAGGAGCACAGGCCTGTTAGTGACCTCAGTGTAAGTTGCTGTCATTGCTACCCATGAATCAGTTGGTTTTTAGTAAAAACACCCCAAAACAAAGAGACTTCTCCCCTAGTAGCTCTTCCCATCAAGAACAGGCAGACTACAGCTGGTTCAAAAGACCAACAAAGTTGAACCCTAGCTAAACTATTGCTTTTTAAGCAGTCATGCACCGAGCACTCCCAGTATCACAAGATCATTTAGCACTGTGGTCTATATACCCCAGCTTTTTTTCTTTTTCCCCTCTCTCTCTTCCCTAGTGGCACTGCACTACAATCCTTGCAGCTCTATTTGAACAAACAAAATGGTACTGATATGAACAGAACCTAACAGAAACCAGTCATGGACCCGAGGAATGAAGAAAAGGGAACATGTGACTAATACTGTGTGTTCTGTAGCCCCTTCTAACACGCCCACAGAAACAGAAGTACACTGCAAGTGAAATTCGGACAAAACAAATAGCTTGTAAGTGATCAGTAGGGGGACATCAGGTCTCAGTAGCAAATCTAGCACAGGGTGGAACGTTTGGTTACAGCTGGACTGGTTAGAACACCGAATCTTTTTAATCTGCTTCTTTCTCTGAGATGGAGATGAATGAAATCCCATGTGCTTACCTATGTAAAGCAGAAAACAAGCTGCTGGGGGACAACATGAGGGGGCCCCTGGGGAGAATTGTTCCTTTGTCATTCACCCAGTGTAGGTATCCTCTGGTCATATCTGCCATCCCAATGGCACGGGCCGAACAGTAGAGAAACTTGTAGCCGTTTCTAGAAAAGAATTACCCGCTTAGTTCACATT